CGGGAGCGCCACCACGCTCCCAAGCGGTGCACTGTAGCAGTGCGCCACCGGGCTGGCCCCAATTTTATTATTTTTAAAGTAAGTTTCCCTCTGTCTTGGCTTTTGAGTCATCTCAGAGTCTTTTTCTAGCAAGAGGACAGCAGGCTACAACTACAGGGAGACTTTCCCGGAAGGTGATGGCATGGCGGTCTTTCCCTTTGGTGTTTTCACTGTTCACAAAACAGCACTGTCCACCCGGAATTTCAGGAACTTCAAACCAAGGAGACTTTGGCTGTCATCCCCAAGCTCGTGATGAAGACCTAGGGTTTCCACCACTGGTGCAGGTTCAGCCAGGGCAGAAATCACCCCGGGCCTGGCACCACCAGGCCTCCCCTGCACGAGGAGGGCAGAAATGGCAACTCTGCACCTCCCTCGCAAGTCACTCTGCCATAGACCCCTGTGGCGGGGGTGGACTCTGTTTACTGGCCAGGCAGCCGGTCCCAAGCCTACCTGTATTTGGATTTTCTCCCAGTCCTCTTCTGTAATCTCATGACCACACTTCTGCTCCAACTGCTGGAGAACACTTCGATTTATGGCCAAGCAGTGATCGATTTCTGAAAAGAGCTCTTCTATGTTGGTGTCGTATGAGCACAGTATGCGGTGACTTATTTCTGTGAACTGAGAAGGACAAAGGGAGAGGGACAGATTTGCACATCTTGCTTGGAACTCATGGTGCAGGTTGAAGGGAGATACTTTCATGAGTCCTGGGGACCTATTTTACTAACTTCCTGAGGTCTCTGTCTTTGAATAATACTTTTTAGGGAAATAGACATGGCTATTTACTTAATAACTACAAATCCAGATAATCTATCTGGACAGATTGCCAGAAAGGTTCTGACAGGGTTCAGAACACCGTACCCCCAAATATGGCGCCTTGGCATACTGAATATTTTAAGGAAGAAGACTCCTTCCTGAAGGAATTTGAGAAATAGCAGGTGCAGGAAGGACTCTCTGACCTCCCCCTCTGCCCCTGAGGCGGCGAGAGGTGCCCTCCTTATACCTGGAGGAAGGGAGCATCCTTGCCTCCAAAGCTGGAGGGACTCTGGGAGGAACGTGAATGAGCAGGCCTTGCTAACCTTCCCCGTTTCCTGCCCTCACCTCACACCCTTGTCCTGCCGTGTTTTCCCACAACTTTTCACTCTTTGTTAAACCCAGCATCAACACGCTTGGGCTTAACCATTTCTCCAGGTCTTCATTTCCTTATGAAGGCTCCTGTGTCACATAAGACTTATTTTAAAATAAATTTATATACTTTTCTCTTGTTATCTGTCTTTCTGTTAGTCAGATTCAGGGCTCCCACTGAAGAATTTAGGAGGGTTGGGGAAAACAATAGATTGGTTTCCTCCCCTACAGTTTACTTGGCTGTTAGCGAGGAATACATTTGAAATTAAAAGTTGAGAGAGGATTTAGAATTTTACAAAACTGGATACATTGTGATCCTCTTCTGGCATCATGTATTCTCATCTTTAAAGAGGACTGTCATGGCACAATGCCACAATTTCCTGGTGCTGTCACCAGGCGTTTGGTAACTAGAGCTGGTTCACATGTCTTGCTTACCAGCCATCTTCCCACTGTGGTTTCAGACTGCGAACTATTTTAGTGTCACCATAAAAAAAAAAAAAAGAAAAAAGAAAATCTGACAGATTATTGTCTTCTTTTAGCCTAGTTATTCATTCTGTTTTTCCCACTGAGCTCTAAAACCATAATTTGAAAATTCCCATTGCTTAAGGACATTTTAAAAAAATCTCTTATGCAGGCAGATACAATCGACTTATGGACAGCTGTATGCCCCCTTGCTGCAGAACAGATCTCTAGGGCTTATCTTAAAATTCTGTTTTCACTACTAGCATAGATACGGAGGCAGCAGATTACATTTTATTTCAAACTTATGAAAAGTTTGCTCTGAAAGTGTCGCCCTTGAATAGAGTCTCTGATGTTCCTCCGAACTCAGTTCTTTTTATAAAGTAATGTGCTTTTGATATAAAAAGATGTAGAAAACCACAGTGACTTTATGACAAATGACTGGAAGACTGTAGGTTGGTTGTAGCAGAGCATGCCTTCACCTGCTGACGGCAATAAATGGGAACTGCTAGGATGAGGCAAAATGAATGCAGATGCTTCTGCTGCAATGTGTGCAGTTACAGTGTGGATTAATTCACATGTGGTGAGTGAAACGGACTATGCCTACGTCATGTTAGAAGCCACATGGGTTCATGGCTGATTTTTCTCCCACTAGCTTCATTTCTGTGCCATTAAGAAGTACCAGTTGTGGGCTGAGCCCATGGTGCACTCAGGAGAGTGTGGCGCTGGGAGTGCAGCAGCGCTCCCGCCGCGGGTTCGGATCCTATATAGGGATGACCGGTTTGCTCACAACGCTCACTGGCTGAGCACGGTGTGGCCGGTCTCAAAAAGCACACACAAAAAAAGAAGTACCAGTTCTTACCTGCAAGTGGCACAGAGTGACCGCTCAGCTGCTCTCTTCCTTGTGACCTGGTCTGGCTACGTGCTCTAATTTGGAAATGTTTACTCCCTCATCTCTGTCAATTTTAACCTCCATAATTAGGAAGGTTCTGCACTTTGTACATGTCTCTCCTTTAAGATGCCATCATCCCTTTCTTAAAAGGATAACGTCTTATATTAATTGTATTGTTTAAATTGAATGTCTTAAACTTAAGTAGAGTTTTTATTCATATTGGGACTGTTTTTGGTAGTGTTTTGCTTAAGAATTTGTGCAGGTTTCAATGGTTTGCCTCAACCCTTTTCCCCACAAGTCCTGTATGACTTTTTAGGAACATACACATTGGCAGAAATGCCAGGAAAGGTAAGTGATGTCATGAATACGAAAGTCTTTAAGAATCCAGGAGTAAGTCTCCTTGGATGGGCTGGGAAGAAGGAATAGTTTCACAAATTTCAGTTAAGTTGTAAAGATTTGGATTATCAGAGTGGGAGGAAAAGCATCCACTCTTGAAGAAATCATATGAGAAAAAAATTGACTATCTTTGATTTTATTATTTTTCTTTACCTTATCTTCTCAAAGTAGCATATGATACCGTTATTTAAAAAAATGTTTTAGCATGATAAACTTGTTTTGAGGACTTCCTAACATGGTAAGACTTGGGAGAGACAACACGTGTAATTCAGAATTTCTTGCAGTCACATTGAAAAACTCTTTAAAAGGTGACATTAGTTTTAATATTTTATTTGACCCAATGTATTCAAATATTATCATTTCAACATTTACCAATTGAATAAACTGTTAATGAAATATTTTGCATTCCTTTCCCCCTATTAAATCTTTGAAACCCATTGTGTATTACATACTGACAGCACTGCTCAATTTGGACTGGTCTCATTTCCAGAACTCAACAGCCACATGTGGCTTGTGACCCACTTGTACCGCAGAACAGGGCTCTGATGTCTCAGAAAAGACACACACTATAAAGAACTGGATCATTAAAGAGTGGCCATCTATGTCATTTGAGGCATGGAGAGGTAGTTCATTTGGGGCTATACCAATAGCTTCTTGTTTTTCAAAAGACTAGTGTAGAAGGAAGGGGCAGAACCCGTTGTTAAGGCTGTGAAGTGTTGACTGTCCACTCAACTCGCTCGTCCTGCCACAACGGCACTGTCTACAGAAGCTGGTGTCTCACCAGAAACAATTTCCCATCCCGCCTTGTTGCCTAGGTGGGGCCATGTGAACTAGTTCTTCCAAATGCAAATGGTTGTGTCACCTCTGGGTCTTCTGGCTGGACACACAGGTCGCCAATGTCCAGGGGACGGCAGAGCAAAAGTAGGGGAGCCAGTTTCTGCATCCCACAGGTGGTGAGAAGCACCTGCCTTCCTGTATAGGCAAGAGCTGAGCCTCTCCAGTCGCTGGTGTTTTGGGGGTTATTTGTTCCAGCAGCTGGAAGTATCCATCCTGATTTAGTGATTAAATCTGTTTCCTGGAATGGGGCTGGAGCACAAAACAATAAAATGGACCAGGCCCACCTGAATCTCACATTTACATGTGTGATAGGGGGAACGTACATTCCAGAGGGCACCTGACTTTCCAGCTTTCAAATATTCTAGTCGACTGGAGACCTCACATTCACTTTTTTGGAAAAAACGCAGAGCAACCTGGTTGAATGCAGCGAAGTCACCCTCAGAAGTTATTTCTCTAAAGTCAGACTTCAGAAGGTACCTTTGGGAACACGGTGTTCTTTTCCGATTCTCTCCCTCCTGCAAGGAGATCCTGGGACAGCGCACGGTGAGTGTAGTGAAGACTGTGAACCTGACTGGTGAGGACATCGTCACCCTGCCTTCCTCCCTGGGGTGTCAGAGGACGAGCACTGGCTTTAAGGATGCAAGGTCCTTGTCAAGATAAGGGAAATGCCGTGGACACAATGGTGGTGGATCTTCTAGGCACCCGTGTTTTGGAATTAGCCATATCTGGAGGCCCGATGAAAGATGTTTTTCCATTTATGAACCAAACTCTCTTTCACTGTGACTGTAATTTTAATTGCCAAGCTGCCGTATATTAAGTATGGTCTTCAACTGGCAGTGTTTCCTAAGGCTTTAATTTTAATTTTCTTTGTTCCTTGGCCTTCCAAATACCTAGTAATCTCTAAACAAATTATTGAAAGCAGAAAAGTTTTCTATATTTTATTACTTGGAAACATATACAGTTACCTTCTAATTAATGCTTTGAAATTCGGGTTTTCTGCAAATTGCATTTTTCGATGTGAGATACTTTCCATATATATGGAAGGATCATTTCTTCCCCCAAAATTGTACCTCAGAAAAAAAGGGTCACATTCTATTCCAGACCTTACAAAGTATTTCAAGTTATGAAGTATGTTCTTAAATTGGTTCTTAACAAGAAGGTACTATTTGGAGAAGACACATCAGTGTGAAGTCACTGCAGTCAATGACTTGGAGTGCTTATTCTCAGAGTGGGGTCCAGACCAGCAGCATCAGAGCCTGAGAGCGCATTAGCACTGCAGTCCTCAGGCCTCACTCCAGGCCTGCCCAGTCAGATAGTCGGGGTGGCGCCTTGCAACCTGCATTTTTACAAGCCCTCCAGGTGATTCTGATGCGTGTCCAAGCTTGACAATTACTGTCATATAAGTTACCTGATTAAAGTTTTTGAGAGGCAGAGTTATTTAATATAGCTTTAGTTACTGTTCCTGGAGGTATAACTTCCCAATTCCAAGTGACAGATGTTGTTGTGAGCAAGCTTTCCTAAGTCATGTAGGGAGCAATTGAGCATGTGTGGAAGCCACGGATACGTGAACTTATATTATTATCTATCTGATTTTATATATCTCCACTGGATGACTGACAGAAGCCCACCTGTCCTGATATGACATGATTGTTTCCAGCTCAAGATTAAACTTCCAAAGACAGCATCATATAGGACAGCATCACAGTGGACACCTGCATGGCCCCTACAGCTCCCTGGTCAGCCCCAGGTGGGCCCCAACATGCCCTGCCACTGCCCCTGCCCTCAGCCTGGCCAAGTCCTCCAGGGACTGGGGCCACGCACCCCCATTTTGGCTTCTGTTCAGATTTCGTCTCCTCAGCAGTTTCTACCTTATTTAAAACCCCTTGCTCTCCACTGGACTCTCCTTCTTCCC